TTTTTTCATATTCATACATCTCGATATCGAGATGATCGATTAGAGGCTTTTTCAACATTAAAACAAGATTTCCGATAGATTTTTGAGGTGTATCTGTGATTCTACATTTTAAGGTTGCAACCTGATATAAACTTTTCCCTTTGCAAAATGGGCTGCACTTTTTATGTTTTATATCCATAGGAAATCTAGACAAAAATTGAATTATGATCGGGTCCTCATTGATAGGACTAGCTAAATGCAAATATCTCCTATTTTCTCCTTAAGTGGAGTTATGTTGGTAATTATGGGTTAGTCGTATCAGTTATCCTCAATTCTCTCTCTCTAAATGTGTGCGGGGATGGGAGTCATAACTAGTTGTGGGGTTGGTTTTTAAACTGTTTGAAAGCCTATAAAGTGAATGCCATGAAGGGTAACTTTTGAGTTGGTGTTTATCCATCTAAGCTTGTGTTTGTGAAGGAGTGAGGTAATTTAGGACCGCTATGGCCTTTGGGCTATAGCATCCTCACTTTAATCTTTATCATTGTGTCTTTATCTTGTTTATGTTTAGTGCCTCCTTGTATTCTGTCAAAGTTGAGAGTGTTATTATATTGTAGAAGCAGCTACATATTTTCAAAAAGACCAACAGAAAGAAGTGGCAATTGCTAGCTCATACTCCAACTTTCCATCGAAAAGCAAATCAGAGATATAAGCACCCAATCTGGCTAAAACAGTGTACTAAAACTTGGGCTTTGGAATTAGGGGTTGCCGAGTTTGCCGCTTTCTACATTTTAGTGGTATAACTTCTATAGACTCAGCTGAGTCTGTATGGACGACCCGGACTCAGGACCTTGCCAAGTCACGGGTCTAACCGTCGTTTATAAACATTGGGCTAAAATCATATAAAAAATCAACATTGATCCCTACCCAAATCTAAGACCATTCAAGAACCATATTAAAGCAAGAAAACAAAGAGAAGAATCAAATTTATGGCGGGAAAAATAATTACCTATTGTGCATCAACAGAAGATCAAGATCACTTGCATTGTGCACAACAAATTTCTTGAAGCCATTGGGGAGATAGTGCTTGGTCTTCTTGTTTGAGCCATAGCCAATGTTGGGCATCAAAGTGACTCCCTTGAACTTCCTCCGCACCCTAGAGTCGATACCCTTCGGCGTCCGCCAGTTCTCCTGTTCTCAATCGAATGTGCTTAAGAATCAAGAATTGCATGATCAAACTATGGAACTACCTATCTTATATCAGCAAACAAGCTCCCTCCCTCCCTCTGTCTCTCCCTTGACATTGCAATCTAAACAGAGGCCTCCCTCCCTGGGCATTGCAATGTAAAATCAGAGCAACCTCCCTCCCTCCCTCCCTCCCTCTCAAGGCAGGAACCATAAAATTGGTTGCCTGCACCATTCTGACCCAGCCACTGAGACAGAGAAAGGGGGAAGAAGGAAGATGGTGGGGGGGGGGGGGAGGAGAGGGAGAGAGAGGAGCAGTTTCATAAACATCCAGAATCTGGTTTCATTTTCTCTCACTATTGTCTAGCTCAATTTTTGCATTATATTCATTCGAGCCACCTTATGAATTATACCAATCTTCTATATTTAGTTTCAAAACCCACTGAAACTGCTATTATAACTTAACCCAGCTCTTTAAAATCCAGAGAATCCTCCAGGTAACTTATCTAGGAAGAAGAAACATGAATAAAAGACATAAGTTGGTAGAAATCAAAGAAACATAATTAGGGTTTGTATAAAAAGAAAAAACCCATAAATGCAAGAAACCCTTAAAATTCCATAAAAAAAAATTATGGTTAGGGACATAATAAAAAAAACCATAACAAATATTAACATACAGAATGCAAAAGTAAATGAGCAACAGGGAAAAACTTACACATAAAAAGAGGCCACTTTGATTCAAACTTCAAATAATAAGAAAAAAACCAAAAAATGGAAAAACCCTAAATTTATCAGGACCAGATGACTTCTTTCGTTTGACCATATACATAGTCCAATAAAATACAGAAAAATGTGTGTGATCAGGAGGTCAAAATTAGGCTAATATTTAAGCATAAATTCCATGAAAATGTGGAAAATACAAAATCATACACCAAGAGGGAAAAGAAAGTAAATTTCCAGAATAAAAGCAAAAGGGGGCGGGAAAAAAAAAAACAAAAAAAAATAGAAGCAGAAAATAAGAAGTACCTTAACAGAAATCTTTCGATCACTCTGAGGCCTCTTGAACTTCTTTACGCGCTTCTTTACGATCTTCTTGTTGAGAAGTGGAACCGCCATTTTTCGCCCCTGTTCTGCAACCGAAAAAAAAGAACAGGCAAAAGGAGACACCAAACGAATAAAAACCCTAAATTTGAGAGTTTGGAGAACAAAAAGACAAATACCCCTGAATTCGAATGAAAATACGAAAATGTCATTAGTAGTATATGACACACGTTCGGGCAGAATATAATACACCGCCGGGTCATCCACCGTCTATTTTATGTGATGGGCTGTGGAGATAGGAAAGAGTGTTTGTACAAAATGTAAAACCTAATAGGAAGAAAATGAGGCACTTTGGAAAAATAAAAGTTGGACAAAAAAGAAAATGTATAAATAAGACCATTTATTTTTAAGTGCGGGCGTACCTCCAAATAAGACCATTTATTCAATCTTTGTTATAGTTTAAAATATATTTTTATCTCTAATTATAAAATTTAAAGTTTCAAAAATGGTGTAGATCGATCATATCTATGAAAATTTAAAAAATTTGAAAATTGATGGTTTAAAAATGCTTCATAAGATGCATTATTTTTAAATTTTGAAATCTATTTTTTTCTCATGTTTATGCATCTTGATATCGAGATGATCAATTTAAAAATATTTTAACATTAAAATAACCTCTTTTAGTGAAATTTTTTAGGTGTGCTCTAATTTGATTGTGTTATAGCCTCTGCTCTATAAAACTTTTTTCTTTATTTTTTAGTCACGATTATTATCGATCATGGATGTGAAACCAAGGTGATTGAGGATGTATGTAACAATCCTAAAATTTTGAAAAAAAAAAAAAAGGAGAAAATATGCTTTTAATTAGGTGATGTTCTGTTTGAATATGATGGTCCTTGAGGACCATCACTATTTTCAAAAAACTTTTGTTTTGGATTAACTTTTGCTTTGCCTTTACTTTTTTTCTTTGCCTTCTTTTGCCTCCTGCTGCAAGCATGCAGCAGGCGTCTTTTAGCGGACGTGGTTTTCGTACGATAAAAGTCTGCTTTTAACGCGACACCTCGGGTATGAGGTAGAGCGTAATAAAACAATATAATAATACGTTATAAAAATTTAAATAGGGGATGTGAGCACTCCCACCCTAAAACAAAATTTTGAGATCTCTCTCTCTGGTCGAAACACAGTGAACTTCTCTCTCGAACCGAATTTTTTATCGGAAGCTCCCTCTCAAATAATTGTGGGTAAGTGACATCGTCTTCCTGAAAAATAGTCTGTTTTTAATAAATAGTGATATTTTCGTTCAGGATATTTATTTTATAAGTTTTGTGTGTAAGTGACATCGTTTTCCTGAAAAATAGTCTATTTCTAATAAATAGTGATATTTTTGTCCAGGATCTTTATTTTATAAGTTTTATGTGTAAGTGACATCGTTTTCTTGAAAAATAGTCTGTTTTTAATAAATAATGATATTTCCGTTCAGGATATTTATTTTATAAGTTTTGTGTGTAAGTGACATCGTCTTCCTGAAAAATAGTCTATTTCTAATAAATAGTGATATTTTTGTCCAGGATCTTTATTTTATCAGTTTTGTGTGTAAGTGACATCGTCTTCCTGAAAAATAGTCTG